AGGGTCAGCAGGGGTGCCAGGGCCACAGGGCCCACGAGGGGCCAAAGGGGAGCCAGGCACCCGGGGCCCTCCTGGCCTGATAGGCCCCACTGGCTATGGGATGCCAGGGCTGCCAGGTCCCAAGGGGGACAGGGGCCCAGCTGGGGTCCCGGGGCTCTTGGGGGACAGGGGCGAGCCAGGTGAGGATGGGGAGCCAGGGGAACAGGGACCACAGGGCCTTGGGGGCCCCCCTGGACTTCCGGGGTCTGCAGGGCTACCCGGCCGACGTGGGCCCCCGGGGCCTAAGGGGGAGATGGGGCCTGGAGGACCCCCAGGAGTGCCTGGCATTCGGGGTGACCAGGGGCCTAGTGGCCTGGCTGGGAAACCTGGGCTCCCAGGAGAGAGGGGGCTTCCAGGGGCTCATGGACCTCCTGGACCGACTGGGCCCAAAGGCGAGCCAGGTTTCACGGGCCGCCCTGGAGGACCAGGGGTGGCAGGAGCCCTGGGGCAGAAGGGTGACTTGGGGCTCCCTGGGCAGCCTGGCCTGAGAGGCCCTTCTGGAATCCCAGGACTCCAAGGTCCGACTGGCCCTATCGGGCCGCAGGGTCTGCCAGGCCTGAAGGGTGAACCAGGCCTGCCGGGGGCCCCTGGAGAGGGGAAAGTGGGAGAACCTGGCATGGCTGGGCCTACAGGGCCTCCTGGGGTCCCAGGTTCCCCAGGACTCACGGGCCCTCCTGGGCCTCCCGGACCTCCCGGGCCCCCTGGTGCACCTGGGGCCTTCGATGAGACTGGCATCGCCGGCCTGCACCTGCCCAATGGCGGCGTGCAAGGAGCTGTGCTGGGCAAGGGGACCAAGCCCCGGTTTGGGCTGGGCGAGCTGTCGGCCCATGCCACGCCCGCCTTCACCGCTGTGCTCACCTCGCCCTTCCCCGCCTCAGGCATGCCTGTGAAGTTTGACCGGACCCTCTACAATGGCCACAGTGGCTACAACCCGGCCACCGGCATCTTCACCTGCCCCGTGGGCGGGGTCTACTACTTTGCTTACCACGTGCACGTCAAGGGCACCAACGTGTGGGTGGCCCTGTACAAGAACAACGTGCCAGCCACCTACACCTATGACGAGTACAAGAAGGGCTACCTGGACCAGGCGTCTGGGGGGGCTGTGCTCCAGCTGCGGCCCAACGACCAGGTCTGGGTGCAGATGCCCTCGGACCAGGCCAATGGCCTCTACTCCACCGAGTACATCCACTCCTCCTTTTCAGGATTCTTGCTGTGCCCCACATAACCCATGCTGCCCCGGCCTCCTCCTCTTTAGCGGTAGAGAGACCTTCTCACTTACAAAGAACCTCCATTTAAAGAAAAAACCAAAGGCCAAACAGAGGCGGGAGCAGAGGCAGCCGCGGCCTTGGCCCGAGGAGACTGACTGGGTTTCTCCCTCCACGCAGGCTGAGGTGGTTTCTGGAAGAAGGTGGCCTGCGTTCCTCTCCCCCGAGTGTCTGTGCAGCGTCGGGGTTGTGCCCCCTCTCCTGCCCTGCCTGGCCTGCAGGCAGGGCCCCAGGACGTTCTGCCCAGCTGGTGGAGACCCCTGGCCCCCGTGAGTGCTGGGCCCTGCTGGGCGGCGAAGGATGCTGCTGCTGTGCGAGTCAGAGCTGAGAGGGGACTGAATTCCCCCACCCATTCCCCCGGGGAGACATCTTCGCAGCCCTGCCCTTCCTGCCTGCCCACAGACGGCCCCTGCTCAAGGAAGGGGCAGGGCCTCCCTCAGTTCTTGGCTGCCCCGCGCGGGACCTCCAGCATAAGACGGTGGGTCCCCTGAAGAGTTTTTGTTTCTCTCCAGGGGAAGGGAGAGGAGGGGGACCATCGAGGTGGCCAGTGGACACCCTGTCAGGACTGCCACCCTAGCAGTGGGGCGGTGGCATCAGGCCTGTCCCTGGCAGGTACAGGCGTGTGGCCCCTCCTTCAGGCTCCCAGGAAGTGCCGACCCCCCTTCACTGCTCAGGCTGCAGCCATGGGGAACGGTGGTTTGTGAGGGGTAGGGGCATGGGTCTGAGGCAGGATGGCAGCTCTTCACGTTCGTCTCCATCCCCCAGGTTGCCTCCACCAGCTCTGGCTCTGTTCATCATGAGGCCAGCCACCCAGGCCCCTAGGGACCGCCACAGGCGGGCACGAGGCAGGATGGGCAGTCAGCGAACATGAGTATTCCTCCCTTTCTCTCCTTTCACCTGCTGGGGGAGGGCTGATTTTCTCAGACAAAATTGTAAGGGATCCTTGCCACCCCCAACCCCAGTATCCCCAAGGCAGAGAGCTTCTTGTTTGCCCTCAGAACAAGGTGCACACAAGCTTGGGGATGAAGGCCACCGCCCGCTTTTTCTTAATAGCCATATGATGGGTGTGTGTCGACTACAGGGGTTAGTCTGCTGGGGCTTCTCCTTCACCCTCTGGTTCCAATTTCCTGTCCTAGGCAGGATTAAGGCCCAGGAGGATGAGGCCCTGAGAAAAAGGGTGCCAACAGGCCCGTTTGGAATGAGTTGGATGTTTCTGCCGTTTTCCCCAATCAGAGCTCCACCCTGCAGGAAACAGACAGGACCCCCTCCCATGCCCTCAGCCGCTAGTTCAAGCCGAGTGGATAGAGCTGAGGACCCAGCGTGAACCTGCTCCAGCTCTGGCCCATGCCAGCCTTCCTTCCCATGTTGAGGAAGGAGACTGGCCACTGACTTCTTTTTTTTCTTTTTTTAACATCTTTATTGGAGTATAATTGCTTTACAATGGTGTGTTAGTTTCTGCTGTATAACAAAATGAATCAGCTATACATATACATATGTCCCCATATCTCTTCCCTCTTGCATCTCCCTCCCTCCCACCCTCCCTATCCCACCCCTCTAGGTGGTCACAAAGCACCGAGCTGATCTCCCTGTGCTATGCAGCTGCTTCTCACTAGCTATCTATTTTACGTTTGGTAGTGTATATATGTCCATGCCACTCTCTCACTTCATCCCAGCTTACCCTTCCCCGCCGCCCCATGTCCTCAGGTCCGTTCTCTAGTAGGCCTGCGTCTTTATTCCCATCCTGCCCCTGGGTTCTTCATGCCACTGACTCCCGACTTGTGACTCTGTGGCTCCTCAGGCCCATCGCCTGGCCACAACTTCTCCAAACAAAGCAGACCGTTTACTTGCTTTAACGTGCAAAAGGAGAGACAAAAACCCAAATCTGCCCAAGTGGCACTTCAAGAGCAGGTTGTGGCTACGGTTCCTGGTGGGTTTCTTATTCATCGGCCCCCACGGGTACTAAGTCTCAAGTCGTACCTCGGGGAGCCATCTGCTCAGCCTCCTTCCTGGGTCAAAGCCGCTGCCATCTGACCTGTTAGGGAGGCTTCTGTCGGGCGGAAATGCATCAGGTCCTAGTGGGAGCCCAGGGCCCTGAGGAGGGTACAGGGAGCCAAAAAAAAAGAAAAAATGCTGTTTCACAGAACTGAGTTTCTGCTAAATGTCATTCCTGAAGCCTTTGGGGAGAGGTGGGTGGTGCTTCCGAAATATTTATGGGATTTCCAGGTGTCCACTTAACTGACTAGCTTTGATAAACTATGTCAGGTTTTAACAATGAAAACTACATTACCTTGTGCATTTTTATATTGATTCCTCATTTTTTTTTAAGATTAAGGTTTAAATGTTTTCCGTTAGTAATTTCATTTCTAACCTGGTGTAGGAGCTTAGTTCTCTACATACCTATTATGTACCCTGTGTCACAGAAGATTCGGGGAAAAATGCACTGGGGAATCAAAGAAAATGGGACTTCTTTTTGAAAAGAAAAACAACGGTATTGACTGTATTGACACAATCTCAATAAAGCCTGTTGAATAAACAGCCCTGTGCTGAAACTGGCGTTGATTCAGAGGTGTCTCGAGCCTCTGGATTTCATGAAGCACCCAGGGAGCTCTCTGGGGCTCTTGCTCTGCACCCTCTCGAGGAGCGTGCATTCCTCCCAGCCAGGGGTTCTGTCACCACCGCATCAGAAATGCTTGATTCTCTGAAGCTGCCGAGGCTCTGCACCAAGTAAATGCCAAGAGGCATTTTAAGAAAGCAAAGTGAGGCAGTGGCTGGAGCTAGGGGAGACGGATCAAGCTTCCCTGGAACATTCCTGCAAGCTCTCAAGGGTAGTGGAGCATGACAGCTGGCTCAGGATCCCAAGGGTCAAGTTTCAACATCTGATACAAATTATGAATGAAATCAGGAATCTTTGCTCCTGTGGGCGGGGCTAGTGCAAGGCCCAACGCCGAAGGCAGGGCCAGGGGAGCTGTCCTGGGAGAAAGCACTGCCCCATAACTTGCCGTACTCTGGGAATCTGGACAGCAGACCTGAGACCAACCTGTGCCCTGAAAAATCCTGTGGTTTTCCCCAGCCTGGAAGAACCCCATCTTGGCTGAAAGCAGGCCTGTCCGGCAGTCCTGAAACCTCAGGCTAGCTGCAGAGCTGGGCATGCGTCTCTCTCCACCGAGGCTGGAATATCCCTCAAGTTTGAGGGGAGGTGTCTCCTCCATTTCGATTTTCCTTTCTTCAGAATGGATGGTGTGCAGAACTTCCCAGCAGGCCAAGGCCTTTGACTGAGACCCAAGATGCAGAATGAGGCCTGGCCTTCACCTGAGGCGATGTGCCCCCCTCACACAAAGGTCAGCGGTCCCGTGATAACACGGTCCCCTCGGCATCGTCCTACAGCGTTCTGGTTCCTGGCTGGGCCTGGGTTCTATCTGGGGAGCAACCTATGAAGCCAGGCTCTGAGAGCAGGAAAATCTGGCTTGTTCCTGCCCGCTGCCTGGGCCGCTGTGAGGGATCTCCACCAGGACAAAGCACCAGACCATGCCTGCTGTGCTTTTCGTGGCTGAACAGCTGGAGGAATATGCCTCCACAGGCCAGCAGCTTGGGTCCCTGGCTCCTCGGAGAGTGAGGCCCAGACAGAGAGGCACAGGCACAGAAGGGCGAGGGGGGAAGAATCCGCTCAGGGCAGAGGAGAAACACAGGAAACAGTGGTGGGATTTAAAGAACTGTTTATTGCTCTGTAACTTCGTCGGGAAGCTGTTAACAAGACCCATGACAGCCAAGGGCCAGGTGTGCATCTAGATCAGCTAGATTCACGTGTCCACCTCCTGATCCATATAAACTTGGCGCTTGGGGCCCTGTGCAGTCAAAGGCAGGCATCCTGGCAAACTGGTTAAATCCCAACAAGGAGAAACGATGCCGCAGATCATTTCCACCTCCCCAAATCCCATGTCCTAGATAATAAAGGAAAACACCACAAGTACTGCTCCAAAATAAAACCTGCCCCGGTCCCTTATGTCTGACTGAGGAGCCAGGAGCACCGAGGCTCTGCAGAAGCCAGGAACCCAGCACCAGAAGGCACCCGTCCCTCCCTCACTGTTCAGTGACCTCCCCAGAGGAGTCCCCAGCCCCAAGGGTGCACTCCGGCTACACCGCAGGAAGGCCGAGGCAGGGAGCCAAGCTTAAGGGAGCCCAGGGTTTCCAGTCCGAGCTGTAGTTGGGTCCTGCTGGGTATGGCGGAGCTGTGGCCCTCACAGATTCTTCTGGAAGACCCGGTGCAGGCTCTGGGCCAGGACGTCAGTCTCCTCATAGCCCTCACAGCTTTGCTGCCAGCTCTCTGGCACCTGTTCCATGCCATAGTAGGCGCCAGCAATGGCCCCGGCCATGGTGGCAATGGTGTCTGTGTCCCCACCAAGTGAGATGGAATAGATGAGAGTCCTCTGGAGGCTGTTGAAGGCAGAGGGGATCTCGGGGTCGGGCTCCATGCAGCGCAGGAAGCAGTAGATGGCGGTGGGCACAGATTCAAAGGCAGCAATGCCATTCCCTGTGGGGAAGCCAGATTATGGGAACTTGAGCCGCCCCCCTTCCCGAGCCCCACATGTCCCCAGGCTTCCTGCCACCTGCCACAAGTCAACACTCTCAGCTTCAAGCTGGGCTGCGATTAAGAGCACAGGCTCTGGAGTTAGGCTACCTGGGTTCAAATCCCGGCTCGCCGACCTACTGGCTGTGTGATTCCTGTATCCTGGGTTCAGCTCCTCGTGTAGAGAGTGAATAAAGTCAGGAATTCTCGCAGGGCTGGTGCAAGGGCGAAATGACATCCTAGAGGTGAAGCATTCTGCATAGTGCCCAGAACACAGTAAAGTACTATCACCATCAGCTGTAAAAAACCAGCGGCCGGCTGCCATCTCTGGGATGTTTATCTTTAAGGCTGAGGGTACTGTTGCCCTAGAACAAGAAGGAGCTGTGCTCGCAGCCTGCCAAAGACCCTACGGAACGTGGCTCTGCTGTCTCAGCAACCCTGGCAAAGGTGTGACGGCAGCAGGCGTGACTCCAGGCACCCCTCCCACTCCTGAGCCCAAGACTGACCCTGAAGGATGACGGGTGGGGGACTACCCACCTAGCTCGGACACCACCTCCTCTCTGGTCACTGAGTCCTGCTCTAGAAGCTCCCCAATCTTCTTCAGTCGGCTGGAGTACGGACGCTCCTCCATGCCCAACCTGTGGGTTGGGGGCGAGATTTCAGGGAGGTCGGAGCCAGCAGGGTGGAGAAGGCAGGAGGGGGAAGGGCTGCATGGGAGGGCGAGGCAGGGACGTGGGCATCTGACACTTAAGCACGGGTGTCAGGGCAAGAAGTGGGAAGGGCGAGCCACCCGGTTTGTTCTCTGGGACCCGGAGAGCCCTGAGGCACAGCCAACGCAAAGGGCTTCTTCCCACCCCTCCTTAGGGCCTGCAATTAAAGGAAGGTCTCAGCTTGAGGCAGGGCCACCCCACCAGCATGCACATGCACAGACGCGCCTCCAGCCCACCTCCAGCCCGCATACTCACTCCCGGGCATCTGACACAGACTGGGCATCACTCTCCAGCTCCTCCATGTGGCCCAGGAGTTGTTCAAGGAAGTGCTCACTGGACGACTCACCCTGCAAAGCCAGGTGCACAGCCAGGGCCTGCAGGATGGCACCGTTGTAACCCAGGGAGGAGGCGTGTGTCAGCTGGGCCGAGAGCCGGGCAAACTAGGGCAAAGATGAGGGAGGCAAAGACCTGCTGTCACAGCACCCAAGCTGCAGAGGAGGGAGGGACGAGCGTGTCCAGAAGCCAGCCAGCCCTAACTACCTTCTGCACATCCTGGACACTGCTATAGGCCAGGGAGATGCCGGCCACCCGCATGGCGCCCCCGTTGCCGTAGGAGCCTTTGCCATTAAACTGGGCCCGGGCAGGCTCGAAGACATCACGGCACTTGGGGCTCAGGAGCTTCCTGAAGACGGTGATCACTCCAGCACCATAACCCCGGTCAGGGTCCTTCTTGTACTCCTGAGCAAACCTAGGGGAGAGAAGGGGACAGCGTAGTGATCTAAGAGATGCCTGCCAGGGCTGGGAGAGAAGAAACCTGGCTGGTTTGGGAAAAGAGGAATCCTTGGGCCCTCAGGAGCCTGTGCCAGCGGTGCTGTCACTTCTAGCTTGGGAAGCTGCAGCTGCCCTAGGGAGAGTGTCCTGCAGCGGGGTGTGCGGGGAGGGTGTCCCGGCATGCACAGATGTCACTGCTCTGGTCAAGGGGTGCAATAACTCTGCCCACCTGGTTTGCTTCACCCCAGGACCACTGCCCTCACCTGTGCGCCATGTCCATCTCGTCGAAGGCCTCCTTGGCCAGCAGGGACTGCACCAGCGCCCTGGCCATGGCTGTGTCGTCTGTGTAGCACAGTGCTTCTGCAGGGACAGGGCGGGGGGCGGAGATCGAGCTGCAGGGCTCGAGGGTGGCGGCTTTGGCCTCCCGCTCACTCCTTTTATCTACTACTTCCAGAAGGCCTCAAGTCAGCCTCTCACTCCCATCCAGCTTCCAGGGCTCTGAGTCAGTCACATGCCCTGCTGATTTCTGGAGGAAAACCTTCCACCCCTTCTGGCTGCATCTCCAGTCTTAATGGACCTGCTTTGGGCCTCTCAAATCTCCTGCATATTCCCCACCCTCCAGCCCAACCTATATGTGCAGCCAGAAAGAGTAGAATATCACTTTCCTCATCTCACTCTCCTGCTCGAATGGCTGTCTGCTGCCTTCAGGATGAGGTCCAAACTCACTGCCTTGGCCATCTGAAGCCCGCCCTTCCTCACCCATCTTATATCCCACTGCTCCAATCCACATCCTCAGAACCAATCCTGGAGCCTGGGTCAAGTCCTTCCCACCTGGGGCTGCTCCCCCGCCCTCCTCTGGCCCTGTCTCCTTCCTCTGGGTGCCCGAGTCTACTGCTCTGGCACTTGTAACACACACCATTGGTTACGTGGTAGCTTCTCAAATAGGCTATAAGCCAGCTAGGGCCAAGGACTTGGTTTTATCTGAAGAAGAGACAGTTACAGAGAACTAAGCATACTCCCTAGTGAGCCCCTTCTTATTCCTCACATCTGCCTTCTGCCCTTGCCCCCCATCCCTGCCCTGCTCTGTGTATCCCAAGTCCCAACCCTGCCTTCTCCTCCCCTTTCACTCTCAGGAGCCCCCACACCCTACTTCACCAGGAAGAGAGGCTCACAGGCACCTACTCACAGCCACACTCTCCAGTCTGTCCTCAGAGGGACTGGTCCCTCTTGAAGTGCCCCCCAAGCCCAGTTCCCCAGGGACCTTGCCCTTCCTTTGTCTCAACTCCTCCCTCTGTAATGCAGCAGCACCTGGTCTCCCTCTGATCGGTCCCTGCACCCTGCTTTCCCCCAAGGAATCACTTCTCTCCCACTCCCAGTCCAGATGATAGGGGAGGGAGCCAATGCCACCTCCAGCCCAGCCAAACAGCACCCCATTCCCTGTTTCAGTGATGGACGGGTGACATAAGCCAGACCACTGAGACTCCATCAGAGACCTCTGCTGGTGCCACTGCGAAGAGAAACTTCCTCTGCTGGAGACGCTGAGCTGGGAACTGCTGAGGGCCACCCCGTGGGAAGGGTCTGTTACAGTGAAGCCCACCCAGAAGAACGCAGATCTGAACAAGGAGAGGAACTGAGTCTTGAGGAGACGGCTTGGTTTAGCTCTGCTTAAAGCCAGACCTGCCCTGGGCTTCTCAGTGACGCCAGCCAATGCATTCTTTTTGCTCAGGCCATTTTGAGTTGGGTTTTCTGCCACTTGCACCCAAAGGGTCCTAAAATCTCAAACTAAAATGTCTTCCCCTCATCTTAACATCAAACCAAAAATGAAATTATGAACTGTCCCCCCCATCCTGTCTTCACCTCAGCCACAGCTCATCTCTCTCCTTCCCTTCATACCAAACATACTCTATTTTCTCCTTTTCCATTTCCTCCTAAACCCACTGAAATCTAACTTCCAAGGTTCAACCTTCTACTGAAGATGCTTTTCTAAGTCTAGACTTCCCCCCACTTAACCTCTCTGTAGCCTCACACCAGTAACCAGTGTCTTCATCTTGAAATTTTTTTTTTTTTTTTGCGGTACGCGGGCCTCTCACTGTTGTGGCCTCTCCCGCCGCGGAGCACACGCGCAGGCTCATCGGCCATGGCTCACGGGCTCAGCCGCTCCGCGGCATGTGGGATCTTCCCGGACCGGGGCACGAACCCGTGTACCCTGCATCGGCAGGCGGACTCTCAACCACTGCGCCACCAGGGAAGCCCTAAAATTCTTTTCTTGAGTTTTGTTGTTACCCATCTCCCCTCTGCTTCTCCTCCTATAAACTGTTTCCTTCTCTAGCTCCTTTTCCTCCTCCAGGGTTCCGGGTGTGGCCCCTTTTTCTTACTATTCTACATGCTCTCCAAGAAGAATCATCCTCAGCCGTGATACTGCGCTGAGATCTGGGTGATGAGTTGACTGCACAGGGAGGGAGAGGCAGAGGGGAGAGAGCTTTACAGGCAAAGGGATAGCAGTACATGCAAAGGCCTGAGCTAGAGGAGGCACGAAGTGAGAGGAAGTGCAGCGCAGACAGCAAGGCCAAGGGTGGTATAAGGTGAAACTGGAGACGCAGGCGAGGGCCGGCCACGTAGGGAACATTAAGGAGTTTGGCTATGTCCTAAGGGTAATGGAAAATTACTGCAGAGATTCATGAGGGGAAGCCGCGATAAGATCTGCTTTCAGAAGTGCCCTCCAGCTGCGTGGAGATGGACTGGTGGCCAACTGACTCGGGAGGCCCGGGTAAAACGCGTAAAATGGGTAAAATCGGCAGGGACTTAAGTATTGGACTAGGCGCAATCTAGGCGTGGCTTGCACGGCTGGGAGGTCTGTGTAGCCAAGCCCTGGGCTGGTGCACGTTCGGGGCGAGACGTGCGAAGACGGGGCTCGGATTTGGACACGCTGAATCCAAGGTGCCCGCGGGTCGTGCAGAGCGGGCCCCTCCGGCCGCTGTCCCCTCCCCGCCTGAGTCCCTCGCAGCTCCCCGGTGCCCAGTGCGCCCGGCCCCGCCCACCTGTCCGCGCGCTCCCCGGCGAGCCGGGGTCCGGCTCCAGGTCCTGGACCCGACGCAGGACTGACGTCAGGTCGACGGTGTCGCGCGCCTCATACACGGCGCCCACGCAGTCCCCGAGCAGCGCGCCCGCCAGGCAGCCGCGGAAGCGGGAGAGGGAGCGAGCCGCCCCAGCCCCTCCGCAGCCGGCCGCCGTCATCACCGCAGCCGCCGCCATCCGCGCGTACCAGCCGCCACTTCCGGTGCCGCCCGCGCGCGCCCCACCGCGCGGCTTTCCCCGGCCCCACAGCGCCACCCGGCGGCCCGGAGTCGCAGCTGCCCCGCGGGTGACAAGGGGCGGTCCCGCAGACCTCGTTTCGATTGGGCCCGGCCTCTGTATTTAGCCCGCGTTTCCCCGACCTGAAAACGGCGTCACAGCCGGGCGGGACGGCCACTAAAGGGTCCCCGAGGGCTGCGCACTGAGCCAGACCTTCGGGCCACTGCCCCCACGGTCGGCCAGCCGTGCCACAGCAGCCCCAGTTCGGGTCATTCAGTCCTGGGCGGTCACCCCCAAGCCCTCCCCCTGTCACCCTAGCCCCCTCTGGGCCTCCCCTAGGCGTCAAGAGGGCACGCAAGGGTCCAGCTGGGACAGAGCTGGTTAGAGATCACGGCGCTGGAGCCCAGGGTGCTGGCCTAGCCCAGAGAAGGGCATGGGATTGGGAACATGGAGCTTGAGGGATGATGTTACCGTCTTTGCTCCTCCGTGCACAGGACAGCCAAGAGCCCTCTCTCCACTGGCTACATGCAGGGGTAGCAAAGAACCGTCTGGACTGAGAACCCCCGACCTTTATTAGATTCGTTCTCTCCACTGCCCTCCCTCTTTCATTTTCCACCAGCCTTCCCCTCCTCCCTCAGCCCCCTCGCTAGGTTAGCTCCAGCGGGCAGGTTTGGAGTGGACTCAGGGTGCGGTTTGTGGTGCGGGTGAAGGTGTCCACCTCCGGCACAAACTTCTCAGCCGGCATGGTCAGCTTCCGCCGGGTGTCCATGCACTTGGTGTCCAAGAGCATGGAGTTGGCCTTGCAGGCGATGTCAGCCTGCAGCCGGGCCAGATGCTGGTACAGGGCGTCCAGAGCATCCCTGGGGAGGAGGGATTAACAGCCCACCACCGCCGGTGTGAGGCTGGGAGGTCAGGGCTGAGCTCACCAGCCTTGAGTCAGGAAGACAGCAGGGAAGCTGGCAGGCAGCAAGGGACCCCAATGGTGGGAGGTGTCTCCCCGCCCGTCCTGCCCACTCCCCAAACCTACTGTGCCTGCGCCAGCTTCTGCTTCAGGGCAGCAGTGGTTGCCTCTAACTGGTAAACCTCCTCAGTGAGGCCGTACTGTGCCTGGAGGCAGAGGGGCAGGTTGGGAGTCCAGGTCAGCCACACTGTCCTTCTGCCCATGGGTCTGGGGGCTGCCCTGCGCCAGCACCCCTGCTTCACCAGGGAGTGAGTCATCCTGAGGAACCTTAGCCAGGGGCCCATGCCCCACTGGGGTGCCCTCGTACCTGGTCCCTGCAGAGTTCCACGTTGGGCCGGTAGGTCCTGGTCTCTAGCCGGGTGTGGCATAGCTTCAGGTTCTGTAACTTTCTGCGCAGATCCTCCTCCAGATGCCGGATGTCCTCCTGCAGCTCGGCAATCTCCTCCAAGGTCTGCAGGGACAGAGTGACTGGTCTCCACCTGGTGCACCCAGTCCGGGGCTTCCTGGCAGGGCCTCAGGCTCCTCATCCCACAGCGGGAAGTCCAGGCCACAGGAGACCAAACAGAGAAGGCTCACATTCTTCTCTTGCCACTTGAGCTCACTGTACACTTTCTCCATCTCCCACAGCCGCTTCCTGAAGGCAAATTCCGTTGCAACCCTCTGGGCTTCCAGTTCGTTGTTGGTCTGAGGACAGAAAGTAGGCAGGTAAAGGGGAGGGTATGAGCTCTGGCCAGCTGAGGATGTCGCTCAGGTGAGGGGTGGGATGCCACATGGCTGACAGGGAACAGAAGACAAGCGCTTGAGTGCATGCTGGGGCCATCTCTTAGTCATGGAGGATCGGGGTAGGGGGAGTGGTCAGTCACCTTGGCAATAGTTAGGGCGATGGCCTCCCTCAGCTCTATGGACTCTTTCATCTCAGCCTCTGCTCGGTTCTTGTTGAACTGACTGTAGTCATCCCACTGCTGGAGTGTGGTGGAGCTGCAGGTGGCAGGAAATAATCAGAATATGGCCTCTGCGGGGAGGAAGAGAGACTGAATGAAACGCCCTTCTTACCCGTTGGGGACACGTGTGGGATTAATCTTCAGAGAGATGTTCGGGGACTTGAGGTTGAGAGAGAAGCAGCCTCTGTCAATGTCCACTGCCTCCATTTTGCCCCGATGGTCAGAGTTGAGCTGCTGTCGGACTTCCTGCAGGAGGCTGGGGACATAACAGACTGGATCAGGAGCCATACCTCCAAGGCCCTGGAACGCAGCGCCCATGGTACTGAAGGGACAAGGAGGGATGGGAAAGCTGAGGTGACAGTGGAGCTGCCGCTGCAGCTGAGACAAATATAGGCACAGCTGGATGAGCTCCCCACAGACAAAACTATGGCACCAAGTGCTTGCACACACCCACAGGGCACACTCCAGTAGCCACACTCACAAGGCTCACACTCCCAGAAAGTCGGCGTGGTGGCACATGGGCTTCATCTCTCATGCTTCCAATAAATTGATAATGGCTGCCTAGAGCAGGTTCATGAGAAGTATTCTGAGACCACGTCCAGGTGGTGCAAAAAGTACCACGATCAGTGGGTGAGTGGTTTCTGCCATGGGCACGGCGGGGGCAGAAGGCGGCCTGAGAGCCAGTGACTTGTAACCCACGATACACATGTCCTACATTTAAAACACAGCCTTCAAAGGCGGGTGAACGTGCAAATGACACATCTCTCTCTTACCAGAGCTTCTCAAAGGCCTGGCTGATCTTCTGTTGCAAGGCCTCCTTGGTGGCTTCAATGACCTCTACCTCTTTGTGCAGCTCTTCCTCCACGGGGTCCTTCACCACATCAATGTCACGCCGACTCTCCCGCAGGGTCAGGCACTCAATGGCCACATCCAGAGGCAGGTTCTTGGCCTGCAGGTTTTGTTCTGCTGACTCTTTCATCTAGAAAAGAGAGGGCACAGGAGGCTGGTGGGGCCATCCGCTGGGAAGCAGCTCTCATCCCCACTTAGGCCAAGTGACTCAGATGGACATGCCACCAAATACCCTGACCCGGAAGAGGGGAGGGAGAGGGAGGTCCTTGCAGGCAGGGTCTCCTGGCACCCTGCCCTGGCTCCCTGCCTGTGTCAGGGCGTCGATCTCGGCATCTAAATCCGTCAGACACTTGTCCAGCGTCTCCTTCCACCGGTTGACAGAATCAATCCTCTCTGCCAGTCGAGTCCTATTGTCATGTTCGTCCCAAATGGTCTGGAAGAGACAGAGCCAGATAAAGAGGTTATCGGGAGTTGGGGGCTATCCCTTTCCCACCCAACTGGGCTCCGGCCCCCAACCTGGTTGTTGGTTTCATTGCAGAGGACCCGGGCCTCCTGGCGGATCTGGTGTGAGGCATCTCGCTGCCGCTCAGCGTTAGTGGACAACAGGCAGCTGTTGGCGTGCCAGTCCGGCAACTGGAAACGTGGACTGGGCTTGACACTCAGGGTGGCCATGGTGCAGGAGCCGAAGGCTCAGGGACCCCAGGCCTGTTCCAAGACACCCACCTCTGCTGGAGGGAGCAAACAAGGCTGCAGGAGACCACTGAGGAAAGCCTCCAAAGGATGTGCTCCTGTCCGTTTCGCTCCAAGCCCCTTCCTGCTGGAAGCCTGCTTGGAAACAGCACTCCCTACACTCAACTTCGTGTGAGGCATTAACTAAGTTTCCTCCCACCCATGCATCCACAGACACAAACTGCTGGATCCTACAGGTCCTGGAGCAGGTGAAAGGGGATAATGGGGCTCCTCAGTGTGTGTGTGTGCGCGTGTGTGTGTGTGCATGTGCGTGTGCGTGTGTGTGTGTAGTGCCAAGTGCTCGGCGGGGCTGGCGGAAGGGGGGGGGCAGGTAGCAGGAAAAGTAGTCCTTAATCCAGTTTCCACCACTACTTCCAGTAACCAAGTCCTGTGCAACTTTCTTTGCTTTCCCTGCCCCAGCTTTGGGCTAGGGCCCTGCGGGATCTAAGAGAAGAAGCCCTATCCCCATCCAGAGAGGACCGGCTTGTTTCGAAGGGGCTTCGAATTGGCCCTAGGGAATTGGTGGTGGGGGGCTGGTCCCCTCCCCACCTGGGTCATATTCCCTCCCTCTGCCCTCTGCTGGAGGAGGAGGAGCGGGTGTGTGAGGGGCCCCAGCGGGAGGAGCTGCGGTTTGTCTAGTTCCAGCCAATCCCTCCCTTCCCCTCCTAGGATAATCATCTTCAGTTTAAATTAATACCCCGGCGCAGAGAAAGGAGCGGGAGCGGGTGAGCACCTCCCCACCCCTGTCCCCTCCTCCTCTCACCTTCCCAGCGCGCACTTCCGCCTCCCTTCGCCGGCTCCTCTGTTAAGCGCCCCCGGTTGCTAGGCACCCCTCTTCCGCGCGCGGGTCATGACAGCCCGCGTTCAGCTTGGTCACCGCCGGGCGGCGCGACGGTGGCGGCGGCCGTTGGGGCCCAGAGGCCTTCCGGGTAGGAAAGGGCCGGCGGCGGGGCTGATGCAGCAAGAGGATGCGGAGGAGGAGGGCATCAGGATATCGCGTTCACTTCATTCACAAGTTAAAAATCTTTACTTTGATAAAGGTTACGCATCGACATGGCAAAAAAAAGAAAAAAAAAGGTGCCGTGCATAGCCAGAGTAATCTCCCAGTCAGGCTCACTCTCCAGCAGGTATCCTTCCCAGACTTAACATTATTTACACACATTCTACTGATTCTGTCTTTCCCAATAATTTCATCATCTGCTTGACGGCATAGAAGGAATGATCATCGTAATTGGAGAGGGCACGTCCCTGGGAGAGGTAACAGGTAGTAGAAGTAATGCTCAGTATCCAACCATTTCTCTAAAAAGGAGAAGGAAAAAAAAATCCAATCGTGCTAGTACCGTTCTAGACATTGGAAGATGTTGACGGGTAATGTACATAACTAATAGGTGAGGTAGGCATTACCCCCATTTTTGCTAGTAACTGAAGAGACTGGTAAGGATGGAAACCCAGATGCATCTGGTCCCCAGGTCTACCTTCTCTCAGTTACGACTCCGCACTGCCTCTAGTGGTGGCGCTGGACAGCAAGAGGAAGGCAGGGATGCTATCCCCAGCTTGCCCGCCTGCTCCTCTCTGAGGGCTGTGCAGAAAAATCCTAGGAGATGGATGCTATGACCACCATCGTCTTACAGGCGAGGAAACTGAGGCACAGAGAAGTGAGGAACGTACCCAGGGTCACAAAACTAAGTGGTAGAGCTTGGATCCAAAATCAGGCAGTCTGCTCCAGAGGCTAAGTTCTGGTTTGATGGATGGAGGGTAAGAGAGGAGTCCAAGAAGAGTCCTCAGTTTTAAAACCTCAGTGATTGGTGGGATGGGGTCACAGTGGGAAGAGAGGCAGAGAACCCAGGGCTTGGCAGGCAAGGGGATGATGAGGTTGGCTTTTGAGTAGTTTGAGGTGATTGTGGTGGATCTAGGTATTGCTGTCCAGGAGGCAGTTAGAAATGTGAGTCTGGAACTCTGCAGAAAGACAGACTGGAACATTTCCAAGACTTCCTTGATCACAGAATTTTGTTTTTTCACAGAATATTTTCTAAACTCTAATACATGGCTCATAAACCAGACATGCATGGGAATTTGTGATATAGCTCTTTTACTAGGATTAAAGAAGACAAATAAAAGGTCCTGGACAAATTAATTGCTGGGAGAAATGATAAGATTTTGGCATAGATATTTGGAAACTTAACAAAAAGAAGTAAACAAATATGGAAGAATGGTGGTGGCTTTGGCGTGTATCTCTGACCATGGTGGTGGTTTTGGTGTTCATGACTCCCGAGGCTCCTGCACATCCTGGACAAAGGAAGAAGATATTAGCAGAAAAGGTCGGACAGCTGATGGACTGGACTCAGAAAAACAGAGTGATAAGAATGAATGATGCCATGTTCAATCGTTTTGTATTGGAAAAACCAAGAAACTATTCTGTTATTGTGATGTTTACTACTCTCCAGAAGTTTAGATTATGTGTAACATGCAAACTTGCTCTTCAAGAATTTCAGATCTTGGCAGATTCCTGGCAATTCTCCAGTGCATTCAGCAACAAGGTATTTTTTGCTATGGTGGATTTTGATGAAAGCCCCGAGGCCTCTGAAATGCTCCAGGTGATGTCTGTTCCGAATGTCCTCCACTTTTCTGCTAAAAGTAAATTTACAGCAGATGACATTTAAAATTTCAAAGAGAGGGGTATCATAGCGCAGCAAATGTTCACATGGATAGCCGAGAGAAATGAGAGATGGATGGTCAATGTCAGAACCAGGAAGCCTATAAATTATTACTATTCCTTCAAGTTAGGGATATCTTTGGCTCTCATCGGTGGACTTGTGTATGTATTGAAATGGAATAGGAAATTTAGTTTTAACAAAAATTTATGGGCAGTTTTAGCTGTGTTTTGATGTCATCTGGTCCAATGTGGACTCATATACGAGGAGCCCCATTTGCTCAAAGCAATACACAGGACAGACACATTATATTCATGAAGTGCATTACTTTCAGTTTGTAGCAGAAATGTATATCATTTCTCTGTTTCATGTGTGCATTACCCTGGGAATGTTGCTCTTCGATACAGCTGCCACCTCTCCTATGATCATTATAAATAGGAAGATAATGTCCATGACTTGTTTGTGTCTAGTTGTAATATTCTTCAGTTGGCTGCTTTCTCTCTTCAGATTTAAAGAACATAACTATCCATTCCACATTCTCATGGATTAAAAAGGATCCTAGAGATGTAGACAAGGAAGCAAGAAATTTTTTTAAAATGTGAAAATAAAAACATGAAAACAGCAGAATATGAACTCCTAACTTTTTTAATTGATTAAGACTTAGCCAAAGGAGACATGAGGTGCCCTGACAATAACAAGCTATTTTCTCTCAAAATCTGTGAAGTGTTATGTTATGTATCTTCTCTGTTCTTCTCAATTTTCTCCTCCCAGTAAATGTCATAGATTACCTTACTTAGTGAATTCCAATAATTAAAATCCTCAGAGTATACACCTTTTACTGAATTAGGACAGTGTTTAAAAGTACTTTAGTTAATATTTGGTCAGCTGATCTTATTCTAATATGAAAAATATCTTGATAAGGTATCCATCCCCACATCTAGCTACTGAAGTTAAAACTGTATTGCCTTTTTTGGAGGTGTATATTTGCACAGCTTACTTCGTGTGTTGTTCCCTGAAGACTTATCTTTCTTTAGCGTGCACTTCCAATGTCTAGAGGCAGATACAGTACTACGTGGTGCTCCATCTCCCAAGTCTTTTCTACTGAAATACGCTATTGTGCTTCCTGATGGTTGTAGATATTACAGACTAATTAAATACTGGATTGTTTCTCCACGATCGTTAACGACTTTTTATCCGGAAAGATTTCAGGTAAATTATCTTTCTTTATTTCTCTTCCAAGAGGGCAATTTCTAACAAAATAGTAGTTCCTATTTTGGTGTTGATGTGAGGTTGTTTTCAATTAAATTTAAATCTAAGGGAAAAATATAAAGACAATTCAGAGGATGAATGATGATTTTATTCACCGTTTTCTGTTTAAAAGCATGCTAAAATGTCAGGTTATTTCCAATATGCAGAAATGTAAAACTGAATGTCTTAAAAGCTGTTCTATTTTGGCCTTTCTACCTTCTTAAGTGGAGAAACAAAGTACAAATTTGGAGATTCCACCCCCCCCCCCGCCCCCTTACCTTCATTCTGTCGTATGTAGATAACCAAAGTTAAGTTCCAAATGGCTTATTAATGTGCTTGGCAAATGACAGCAAAGTTGTATTCTACTATTAAATTGAACTCTGGTCTTCCCTCTGGAAATTGCAATTTTAGAAAAGTGAGAACTGTGATTGTGAAAATGTTTTTCAAGCAACAGCAATTTAGTGTCACATCAGAAGATTTCTGCTTTAAATTGGGACTGGCTTTGGCTACTTACAACCAAGTGACCCACCTTCGAGGT